CGGAAGAAACGTGTTGCTTTTTTTATTCTTGATCTAGCGCTGGTCAGGGAGAGGTCTGAGAAGGAGAGAGGCCCACTCTCAGAGAAAGCGCCCCCAGGAAGAATGGCCACTCCGCAATCCCTAACCCTCCATTCTCTTCTTAGGATGTTGGGCCCACAAGCAAATGTGCCCAGCATGTTAATTTTTTTCCTTAAAAGAATTATTTTTTATTAAATGCTATTCATTGCCTTTGGGGGGGGGCGGGGGGTGGAGAAGGTTTTGCTATAGGGCGTGTGTGCTGCCAGAATGACAGAAAGTGAGAAATTACCCCTGGGGGAAGGGCCATGCCGCAACCTCTTCTCCATTCTCGGGATCTTGGGCACGCATGCACACGCGCCCAGAGTTTAAGCCACCGGTTCCGGTTCCAGGACTCAAACCGTGGTCAACTACACGGGAGTCCAGCGACATAGCCATTAAGCCAACTGCTGGTCCCTATTTTATTTTATTTTTGAAGTTGACCAAAGAGAGACAGAAAGAGAAAGAAGGAAAGTGAGACAGCAAGCTGCCAGGTTCAGGACTCAAACTGCAATCAGCCATGTGGGCTTAACCACTGTGCCACCTGTGCAGGTGGGGGTGGGGGGCTCGATTTTCCAGGCACTGGGCCTGAGCAGTTGGTCATGTGGAACCGGGCCACTTTAATCCATCCTGCCACCTGCTGGCCCCATTACTTTATCTAATTTTTTTTTTTTTTGAGAGGTTTTTTGCTTGGCGCATGCGCTTGCCAGAAAGACAGAGAGAGACAGAGAGATAGAAAGCAAGAAATCACCCCCCAGGGGGGATGGCCACGCGGCAGTCCCTTCTCTGTTCTCCTATCGGGATCTTGGGCACGCACGCACACACGCCCGGCATGAGTTTAAGCCCCCGGGTCTGGGACTGGAACCGCGGTCGACTACGTGGGAGTCCAGCGACATAGCCATTATGCTAACTGCTGGTCCCCATACTTTATCTAATTTTTAAAAAGACCTATTACCTCTTATAATAATATTAGTTTTGTCCGTAGAGCATGAGCTCTATGAGGGCAGAAGCTCTAACGTCTTTGGCCATGGTCATATACCCAGCATCTGGAACAGTACCTTGCACATAGCAGATGCCCAATAAATGCTGTTGAACGCATGGAGAAGGTTCCTCCCTACCTGTGTGCTGTGTAGTAACTCATCATCAGTTACTAAACTGCTGGGGGACCAGCAGTTAGCGTAGTGGCTATGTTGCTGGACTCTCACGTAGTCGACCGCAGTTCGAGTCCCAGACCCGGTGGCTTAAACTAACGCCGGTTGCATATGCCTGCGTGCCCAAGATCCAGAGAGGAGAATGGAAGAGAAGGGACTGCGTCGTGGCCATTCCCCCTGGGGGGTGATTTCTCACTTTCTGTCTCTCTGTCTCTGTCTGTCTGGCAAGCACAGGTACCCTAGCAAAAACCTCTCCAAAAAAAAAAACTCTGCCGGAGGGTCATTCTCGATCCATCTCTCTGTCATCCACCGAATACCAGATCAAAATTTACAACAAAAGTCACTCCAAGGACCAGCAAAAGGCGTGGAATTAAGGCAACTGGATTCCACATGGCTGGCTATATGCTTCAAGTCCCAGGCCCTGTGGGTTGAAATCACTGGGTGTGTGTGTGCGCTGAGCCCAAAGTGTTGAGAGGGGAATAGAGGGGACAGATTGAAACATTGGATGTTCCTGCTGGGGGTGATGTCTCAGTTTCTCTTTCTCTCCCTATCTCTGTCTCTCTCCTTGCAAGTTCATGTGTCCTATGGCAATATTCAAAAAAAAAAAATCACTGTGGCAGCAAAGGATTAAGAACAATGCTGGGAACCAGCAGTTAGCGTAATGGCTATGTCGCTGGACTCCCACGTAGTCGACCGCGGTTTGCGTCCCAGACCCGGTGGCTTAAAACTCACACCGGGCACGTGTGCGTGCGTGCCCAAGATCCCAAGAGCAGAATGGAGGAGAAGGGATTGTGGCGTGGCCATCCCCCCTGGGGGGGGTGATTTCTCACTTTCTATTTCTCTGTCTCTCTCTGTCTGGCTGGCGAGTGCATGCGCCCTATAGCAAACCCCCACCCCCCAAAAAAAGGACAATGCTTTAAGATATGCACGACTACAGTGGTAATTCCTATGAGTGAAAAGACATAAACAAGAGTAGCATTGATGCAAATATATAGAGGGAAATAGATGACACTTAACAGTTCTGATTGGGCTGGCCCCAGAGTCTGGGGGTTAAGAGAGCTGTATTCCACATGGCTGACTGTGATTTGAGTCCTAGTCCTAGCAGCTTGAAAAACATGCCAGGTGCATGTATGCACAGGCTTACAGTCCTGAAGGACAGGGAAGTGGAGGAGAAGGGAGTGGACCTCTTTGTCTCTTTCTGGCAAATACATGTACCCTCTGGCAATTGTTAAAAAAAAAAAAAAAAAAGAGTGCCAGGTAGCATGGTGGTTAAGGTGCTGGACACTCACACATGGCTGACCACGGTTTGAGTCCCAGACCTGGTGGCTTGCTTTCTCACTTTCTTTCTCTCTCTGTTTCTGTGTGTCTCTCTGGTCAAATTAAAATAAATGAATGAATAAGTAAAATTAAAAAAAAAAAAAAGAGTTCCAATTGACTAGATCCAGGGCAGGGCAGCTAATGGGAGCAGCTAACATGAATCTGATCGCAACCGCAGGACAAGGGTTCTGTTCGGAAGCTGTGAGGAGAGCAGTTTGGGTAACAGCAAGTTGGTATCATCCCTTCCTGGAGTTTTCCCTTCTGCCCAGCTTAGTCCTGTAGTGAACGACATTGGCTGCTCTTCCCATGTCCTCACCCTTCCTTGTGCTCTTATTGTGCCTCGTGTGTAACACTGTAGATCACGCTTGCCGCCCGCCCACTGCGTGCGGCTGGAGAGCGTCTCACATCTGCAGAGATGACATCACCACGCACTGGCGGTCTCCAACTTTAGTTAAGACCTGGGGCCAGCAGGTGGCGTGGTGATTAAGGGCGCTGGACTCCCACATGGCCAACTGTGGTTGGAGTCTCGGACCTGGCCGCTTGCTTTCTCACTAACCACCCCACTCACTCTCTCTCACTCTCACTCTGTCCCTCTCTGGTCAAATTGAAATAAATAAATAAAGTTTAATAAAATAATAATAAAATCATTCTTTTTTAAAAAAAGACCAGGACCAACAGTTGGCATAATGGCTATGTTGCTGAACTTCCATGTAGTTGACCGTGGTTTGAGTCCCGGACCTGGTGGTTTAAATCCACACGGGGCCCATGTGTGTGCGTGCCCAAGATCCCCAGAGGAGAATTGAGGAGAAGGAATTGAGGCGTGGCCATCCCTCCTGGGGGGTGATTTATCACTTTCTGTCTCTCTGTCTCTCTGTATTTCTGGTGAGCACAGAAAAAAACTTCTCAAAAAAAAAAAAAAAAGACCTCAGAAATGAAGAACGACACTTTTCAACAGTTTGCTGCTTTTCCTAATTCCCACATTTGTCCAATATGAAAGTATCTGTGGTATAGATTATTGATAAGTCTTTAAAATACATTTGGGCTGAGACCAGCAGTTAGCATAATGGCTATGTCACTGAACTCCCACGTAGCCTACCACAGTTCGAGTCCCAGACCCAGTGGCTTAAACTCACGCCGGGCACGTGTGCTTATGTGTCCAAGATCCCAAGAGGAGAATGGAGGAGAAGGGATTGCGGCATAGCCATCCCCCCTGGGGGGTAATTTCTTGCTCTCTGTCTCTCTGTCTCTTCTGTCTCTCTGGCTCTATGGCAAGCGCACACGCCCTATAGCAAAAATCTCTCAAAAAAAAAATAATAATTGGAGGCTAATCCAAACCAGTTATGAACGAATACTTCACCTAGTTTCAGGTTCGGGTTTTTTTTTTTTTTTTTTTTTTTGAGAGGTTTTTGCTATAGGGCGCATGCGCTCGCCAGACAGACAGAGAGAGACAGAGAGACAGAACAGAAAGCGAGAAATCACCCCCCAGGGGGGATGGTCACGTCGCAATCCCTTCTCCTCCATGCTCCTCTTGGAATCTTGGGCACGCATGCACACGCGCCCGGCGTGAATTTAAGCCACCGGGTCTGGGACTCGAACCACGGTCTGCTACGTGAGAGTCCAGCGACATAGCCATTACGCTAATTGCTGGTCTCTCAGTTTCGTTATTTAGAAACTCTTGGTACATCACTTTGCAAATGACACAATAACTTCTTTTTATTAATTTTTTTAAAGAGATTTTTGCTATAAGGCACGTGTGCTTGCCAGAGAGACAGAGAGAAACAGAGAAGCAGAAAGAGAGAAATCACCCCCCAGGGGGGATGGCCACATCACAATCCCTTCCCTTCCATTCTCCTCTCAGGATCTTGGGCTGGACTCCCACGTAGTCAACTGCGGTTCGTGTCCCAGACCCGGTGGCTTAAAACTCACGCCGGGCACGTGTGCGTGCGTGCCCAAGATCCTGAGAGGAGAATGGAAGATAAGGGATTGCGGCGTGACCATCCCCCCTGGGGGGTTATTTCTCGCTTTCTGTCTCTCTGTCTCTGT